GTAAGGACACTTCACTAGATACTTGGTATACTAGGTATTGGTAGCGCCACGTGATAGCACACACGTGTTTTAATAAATTTAATAAGTAAAAACTGAAAAATCAATACAGTTTGAATTTTTTTCTAGTTACAACTATAGTTCCAAGTTTTCAGTTACAGGTATGGTCGTGACCCATATAAGGTAAGATGGGAATTGTGTCTAGATATTAATGGGACCTATTTTTGAGATGTCATTTGAATCATCAAAATATCTTCTCTCGCCTTGGGTGAGGTGAGCGGGAGTATCACTCTTACTGACTAAAGTATTCTGGTCCTGCTCCTGCTTCGAACCGGGGCCCCGGTAATGGTAAGGTCGTCCACAACCCCGGTTGGGCATCGACCCTATTGCCCTCATCCCCATCTGTGGTGGATTGATGGGTGTTTGAGGCGCGCGCGGACCGCGACACGCTGTAGCGACTCAAGGGTCTGGTGCACAGGACTGGACCGCACTTATACGCAGTGTTGTGCCAAAACCGAAGCAAGAGAGAATACTCGCTACTCGAAATTAGTAGTACAAACAAGGCATTACGGCGGCCGGCGGCCGTAGTGTCTCCTGTGGCGGTTGGGGCGTGAGTAGGATAGTGCCTTCATGCGCTCTGCCTCCTCAGTTAGCATGACTACTTCTCAGAAGAAGGAGACAGCTTCTCAGTTTCCCTAGCACCATGGCCATGCCCACCAAAGAGGTTCGTCGCCTTCCCGGAAATCTTGAGATATCCACGACCTTCCGTATGGCCCCCGCCTCAAATATCTGACAGTTAACTTGCATATTATTATGTATTTATAGTATGTTATGTCTTATATAAGGTATACTATTACTGTATTAATATGGGCCTAAGTCACGTGATGTAAATAAATAAAACAATAAAGTCCCGCTAATCCGCTTTACAGAACAGTTAGTTTATAGCAAACAAAACCATGAGAATTTACAAGAAATGAAATGAAATATCCAACGGATGATAAAAATGAAGTGCAATCTCGTTAATCTCATGAGATCCCCATTTTTGTCCGCGATTAATCTTGTGAAAAAGCGGAGATCTCGTGAGATGGAGATTCCATTCCCTAAATCCCTAACAATGATCTGTTCTAAATGTAACCCCATAGAATAATTTGCCGGTATTTATTGATATAGTACATGTTGAATTTGGTCGTTCATTGGAAAGTTGTGACGCGAAAGTGTTAGCTCGAAACGTGCAATATTTACGCGTAACTTCTAACACTAGTTTACAAATTACTTTGAAGCGTATCTTGAAACTTTACCTTTTTAGAAGATCGCCGTCCGTCGTTAATTATATTCAAACACAAAGCCGTAAGTGCCGTCACTTGTATTCAGTTTCTTGACAAAAATTAAAAGTTACAAAAAACAACTGGCGCTTTCTCTTGCTTCTTCTGTTATATTTATTTCTATCTGTCGTATCCTATACGAAATAAATTAGTTTTATAAATCGCACTTTTAAAGTGTGAGCGGAGCGTCGCGTCTCGGTGTGAGTTGACTAGGAGAGGAGCGGCGCATGGCGGTGCGCTAGTCAGCTAGTGTATGTGTCGGCTCCCACAGCACTCTGCTCTGAGAATGTACTTTTTTGACAGCCTACCTTTATTGTCGGAGAGCTGCTGATTAGTTTTTGTTAGTTAGAAAGTATAACCACGACTATGTTATAAGAACTTCGTAATGGCATGGCAGTCATACATGTTAGAGTTCACATGATGGTTTTAACTTTACACGTATAACTGCATTATGGGATAAGCTGGTAATCGAGCAGACGGATCATCGGATGGTAAGCAATCGGCGTCGCCCATGGACACCCGGAACACTAGAGGCGTTATAAGTGCGTTACCGGCCTTTTGGGGATTAGGAATATGAGGATTGTTGGGGATTAAGGGATTAGGAAGGAGGGGGGGGGGGGTTATTGGGCCTCCGGTAACTTCAGTTTCACGTCGGTATTCTGTTTTTTTATACGACAAAATAAAACATATGTTTTAATTATCTAACTGACGGACTACTCCTACCCTATTGTACGGTTATAATACTTAGGTACAAGTCCTAGAGATTTTTTTACTATAATGTATAATTTCTTATTTATAATATTTATTACATAGAATATGATAGACGTACGACGTGAAGTAGAGCCATGTGCAACAAGACTCATTGTTTTCGGCACGTAGCTTTACATGTACATATTAATACTTGAATTGATGAATAATATCGTTGCAGAACGTAATATTATTACGATGAGTAATGCGGTAGCGGATCACAAACAACGCTCTACTTACTAGAGGTCACGGCGCGGCGCTACGTGTCAAGTAGAAGCGAATGGAAATATTAGCACGCGACTGATTGGCTCGGTCAATGTTTGCTCTACAAATACTTGCGCTGGTCCACGCACGTTACTGCGCTACCTCTACCCTCTACCCACACAAGTACACACTACACATGGCATACACTGCCGTTCATATGTTTGGAATCACTCCTATATTTGTTGAATACTAAATTATTCCGAGACTTGACAGTTTATTCTTTGCGGTCTTTTACGAATAATTATGTAAAAATAAAATATTCTGATAATAAAATAAAACGAAGAAGATCTGTGTTGTAGTGGCGAAGGCAGGTCGCCGTGTTTGTGCACAACAACCGGTCTGGCCGGGCGCACGCTGGTGCACCGCGCGCCGGGGCGCCGGGGCGCCGGGGCGCCGGCTGGCTGCTGGCTGCTGGCTGCTGGGTGCTGGCATGACGGTGACAGCGCATGTGGCCAGGGCAGGATGGCAACAAAAGTTCGTTGCCCTGTTTACTCTATTTACGCATTACATTTTGTTAGCGTTAAGTTTAGAAATACATCGAAACTATTCATAGAGTGTAGGGACAGACAGACAACCGTAACATGATTTTGACCGATAAATTGGGTCATTTCAAACGTGCGAACATAATAATAATAATAAGTAAAGCCCGCAGGGCACCTTGAGGCGAGGTGACGGGCACTAGCGACCCCGCGGGTTATCATCATCCCGAGTGCTCCAGGGAGAGTAATTGGCTGGCTGGAGTGAACGATGACAAGGAACAGGTCTCCCACCTCTGGCTTGCCTTCATTGGCCGTCCAGAGTGGAGTCGCGAGAGCAGTGATCCTGCTCGGAGGATAAGAAACTATTCGTAAGTCGCGAGTGTGCCAGGGATGCAGGGGGCTTCGGCTGGAGCAGATGATCTGAGTAGAAAGCGGTGGTAGTTTCTTAACCCTTCAGCCACTCACATTCTCGTTGCCCCTCTGTTGCTATATCTAGCAACCATTCTCGGGGCCCGGTCGATGAGTTGGCGAGTCTCCGCCTGCCATTTTTACGTGTAATAATTACATTGTTTCGGCAGGTGCTATAGTCATCCATAGTTTCCAATTTACCGGTCCACAGCAACCCATCCATAGCCTTACCTTTTTTCTTCTATTGTCCACAATAGTTCTACACTAACCGGGGACTGTCCTTGGGCGCATTTCCATAGCGAATACAGGGATAGTCGCCGGTTTGTGTGTCCATTACATTTAGATTAAAGTTGTTTAAAGGACCTCTGCGCAGTTGGCTTCGGCCCCTCGTACGCCTCCCAAATGACTGGGACCGTGTGGTCCCGTGAATGGAAAAGACATACATAATAATAAGTAGTAATAATAGTATATACTAAATCATTTTTGTCAGATCTCTCGCTCATATTAATGTAAGTTGTGCGGCATTGCCCAACTATAGCTAAGAAGCAGGACATACAACTTGTCACGGTAGGCGGATAGGCTACAATGGTAAAGCTACCGTCATTCGTATGGTTACTTCAGAGTGTGCAGTACCTTGCGCATAGGGACCCTGTCCACTGTACTGCAGGGGTCATCTCCCCATTTACTACCACTTCGTTCTCTCCATATCAAAGCAATTTGATAAAAGTGTGACGACTTCCAAACTTTTACTATTTTTTTGATACAAAAAAACTAAGTACCAAGATAAAGGAGGTCCTAGAATTCCAAACTAGTTTTGCGAAAGAGTATTTGTATATTTTACATCATACTGCGATCCTCAAAAATGAAAGTCCACGATCGACGTTAGCGTTAGAACATTGGAAAGCAATAAAGTTTAGTAATGATTACGACAACGAGCGCTGGTCGCATCGTGGGCACGCGGTGAAAGCTAAGCCGACGCGGGTCAGCGCTCAGCACTCGTGTGCCCAGCGTGTCAGCTGTGTGGACCTGTGCGACCAGCGCGCGACTGTCCCGGGCAGGACTTCGGAAGTACACAAAAATGCAAATACGGCTCGACGCGACTCGGGTCACTTTCGATCCGATGCCATCGTGATGAAATCGAGAGTGGCATTCGATTCGGGTATCGAATGAATGCGCCCCGCGGCCGCGCCCGCTGTTTTCACCTGAGAGACGAAACGTGCGCGCTCAAAGCTGACGCTCCCACATAGCATAAGACATTGCGTTATCACTTTCACCGTTTGTAGAAAATCATTTATATATTTGCATACCGAACAGTTGCGTAATGGACGAACAGGTTAAGGTAACTGTTGTACAAGTGCGAGGTCACAGCACGGGCACGACGCGCGCCGCTCAGCCGTGCAAGTATCTACTGCAGCGAGCTTGCGTCACGCGCCACGCCGTGCGCCACCTGGTCGCGGCCGGACTGGCAGATACGACATACGAGCTAGCTACGAGCACATCTTGTGTGCCACCGGTCTAGCGTCTGACCAGCCGACACGATTGCTAATCTATACATATAATATTGGCATGTTATTTCTATATAAACCTATTATCGATGATATTGACATTGACGTTATTGCATGTACTCCGAGTATATTTTAAGTTAAACAATGTACTATATAGCATAAAGTGGGCAAGAAATATCGGCCGGATCCGATCGACACAGCATGTTAGTGGATAGGACACAAGGGAATGTTATTTCCATATCAACTAGTATTTTTTGTAAGAAATTAAAATAACTGACCTTAATCCGGTTCCGCCGGTTGGCGCGCAGGATGATTCCGTCGTTTTCGATGTAGTCGGGAACTTCCTTGCGGTTGGAGAAGTTGAAGACGACAGAGGTGGAGGCAGGCGGCGGGCCGCGGCCCCGCCGCGCCTGCGCCGGGCTACCGCGCGCCCACGCTGCGCCTGCGCCTGTCGTCACCTTCTCCGGGCTCTTTTTCTCCGCGGACCCGCTCCAGGCTCGCTCAATGCCAGCTGCACCAATACGTGACGTAGTCACTTTGTTTTCTGGCACTGCTTCGCTCTCTAAGTGTCCGTTTATTACTTGAGGAGTAATGGTTTCCGGCTGCTTCGGTTTGGTTTCTGGGCTAGGACTGCGTTCAATGGAAGAGGGTGCGGGAGGCGTGGACGAGCGGAAGGACTCAGGTGGTGGTCGTGGAATTGGTTCCACTAGCGCTGCTGGAGGCGGTTCTCGTCTTTCGGTGCGACCTGGCGGAGTCTGTTCGCTTTCAGCAGGCGGCGGAGGGGAGGGTGACACCAATCTAGTAGTACGCTCGGTGCTTTTCTCGTCAATATCTTCGACCGATTCATCAGTAGCGCAATCGGTAGCACGCGCTGGCATTGGACGAATGACTCCTACACGACGTGCGCGACCCACTAGAACTTGATTGGTAGCAGCTAGCGGAGGCAAATGTGAGGCTGCTCGAGGTACTTCGAATGCATAACGCACAGTAGAGCCGGCGCGAGCAATACCATCGAGAGCAGCGCGAGATACAGGTCGGGAGCCCGAGGGTAGCAGCGCATTCTCTGCGTCTTCAGTATTGGCGACCGGAACAGGCACAGGCGACATGGCTTCAGTCGCTGGCAGTGGACTAGGCGTACGGGGGCTGAGCGGTGCATCTGACGATTCGCGGGGTTCGGGCGTAGAAGTCCGTGGCCCTTCGAGACCACGCAGCACCGCAGAGATACGGACAGCGGGCGGAGCTCGACGCGTCGGCGCGCTTTCGAATTTACGTAAGGTCGAGCGGACTACGTCGGGAGGAGGCCGTTCCGTCTCTCGTAACAATGGGGTTGGTCGTCGGGGAGGGCGCGCGGTACGAGGTTGCGCAGGCGGCCGCGGCGCAAGGGGCGGTGGGGGTGAAGGCGATGGTGCTCGGGGCTCATCACGTGAATCTAAGCGGCTCAGTGCGTCTACAGAGCGCGCTCGTTTTACGGAGTCGCGACGCGTGGAAGACATCAAAGGTGCTGGTGCTACTGCCATAGACACAGGACGCGGAGGCCGTAAGTTGTTACGAGGCGCAGGCGCAGGCGGTGGTCGATCATCCAGCAAATGTTCGAGCGAGGTAGCGCGTCGCAACACTGAGGGGCGGCGGCGCGGGGCGTCCCGCAGCGCTAAGCTCAAGTAGCGCGATTGAAGGCGTTTTACAATGCCAGGTCCGTAGCGAAGTTCCTCGTCTTCTTCGTCGTGTGGCGGCGGCGGGGGTGGTGGCGGTGGCTGCGCTGGCCGACTGCGGGCGGCTGCACGCCGCTGCAGGAGCTCGCGCTTCCATTGCGGCAGTGCTCCGTTCGACATGCCTGCGTACAGGGTGCCAGGGTTAAACAAGTGCGTATCGATGATAGTTATAAGTAAGAGCAAGTAGAGAAAAATAAATATTTTTTTTCTTATTTTCGCGTGCGATTCCGCAAGCGATAGCGTAATGTGACGTCACATCGCTAGTAGGACCTTACATAAGTCCTATAGATTAAATAGTATAGATGAATTAGTTGCGCTCGATATTGTTTTTAGTTTCTTAGGGCTACATTTCATCAGGACGCCATGACGGCGCAACTAATCGCGCCACCGTGGTGTCCGTAAGCTACCTCCTACTACTATTCCTGAGTATTTGTGCGGCCTACGCAAATGTTCTTTGGGTTGGTATTGTTCGTCGAATCAATCAGCCTCACTTGTTAATTGAGCTGACTATAAACCGACACATGCGTACTGCCTTCAGTACGGGTCCGCTCAAACTGTTGTGGTTCTTTCCTCAAAAGGCCACTAGAGAAATTGAGAATTGAATAGAATATTGTGTGGACTTTAACAGACCTCTGAGTTTGTTTCGGCATTTCTTCTCAGAGTAGTCAGTTAAGAAATGTCGACTTCATCGTTCGCTTGATAAAATTGACGTGTAAAAGTGGTGCCTTGTAGCCTATTTGCAGAAATAAATTTACTTGTTTCACTTGTTACCAAATAGACACTAGAGCCCACACACCATACTGCGACAGAGTATCAAAATGGACCTCTAATGCTCTCGTCTGAGTTGGTCGCGCTGCCAGACAGGGTGCGCAACCAAGCTGACAGCCGGTGAATAACTCTCTACTGAGATGTAAACATTTTGTTGGTCGCGGCCGGCAGCTGGTTGCGCCGCCATGGTGTCGTACTGAAATATAGCCCTTAAGTTTAAAACTAAAGTGATTTAGAAATATAGTATTGTATCTTTGTGCACTAATCACAGTGATAAAATAACAATAATAGTTATAGGTACTAGGCGCACCTCTATTACCCCTCGGGGATATAAATGTGCGATGTTTATGTTGAGTTTTGAATGTAATGTAATTTTGAAAGTACTTGTTAATACAAACACTGGGGTACTGCGAGATAATAAGGAAAAAAATAAAACTGCACATATTTATGATTATGATGAAGGGTAATAACGATGTGACGCCATCATAAAAAAGCGATATTTTTAAATTCACGTAAATTATAAATATTGTGACCAAACTAAAGTGAAATTCTTGGCAGATTTCGATGAAACAAAATCTACAATTATTTTTTATCAGGATGCACATTCGACGTATTAAGTTCAATCGTAATGTGTAATGTAATTCTGGTGACTCATTGACAAGTTATAAAGAAATGCAATACAACATCACTTACAATTACTCCATACACATTTATGGATTTTATTAATAGATGTAGGAATTCCCATCAAACATAGAAACCGAAAAGTTGGTAGTTCATACGTAAATATATCCGTGCAACATATTGTGTTGTATGAAAAAAAGGTATAGACCATTTACTGAAGAAAGAAAAAGCGAATACTAGCACGAGTTGTGAGTTGGGATAAATTAGTAAAATATTAATGATGCTTTGTTACGTTAGTTATAAATAAGATATTGATATAAGGTCAGACAACTTTTTAATTTAACTGCACTACAAAGTCTGTATGCAGCGTGCCAATGAACATTAGACACCTTAACCTTATTAAGTCTAGTGTTAATAGAACTTGCAATATTGAAGCAATAATATAGTAATTATATGTATGTATGTTAAAGTATAAAATACAAATACACTATCCTAGTTAATACTAGTTATAATAAGCGAGAAAGTAAGTTTGTCGCCTCTTCTCTTTACACTTTATAATACTCAGCCAATCTTCTTGAAACTTTGCAAACAATTATGTATTGCTATGCTAGTTATGAGTATTTATTTATTAATTTATTTATTCTTTAAATCACACAGGTAAATATGTTATAAGTGGAGCCCCACAAACCGTTGCAATGGTCTGACTGTTGGAGTCGAGTCACTAGGCATTACAATTAAATGTACTTTATAGATATTATACAGGCATAATATGTATGGAACACCTAAGCTACCTTTTCAACATATGAAAAGCTGCAGGTAAAAGCTACCATACACATTAACCTTGCATGCATGCTCAATCAGGCTGCATGTATGCAGGTCATTGAGGTCATCAGGTCACAGGCATAACTACCCTAGTTGTATCATCCTGTTAACTGTTCACTTTTAGAGCATACATGTTAGAGCATGCTTGTCAGTTAAGCACGCCGGGTTAGAACCACCATGCAAACCCTAAGCTATAATTATGTAGTAGCTAGTGGTGGCAGATATCTACTACTAGCTGGGGCTAACTATTACCGTCACTAAACCCACATCACTGTAATCACAATCAAAGCTCACAGGAAATACACATTGAATTATTGCGCACCACATCTACTTGTTATCTTACTTGTTATTGTACATTTTACATGTACACCACAGTCTGTAACCATTTAACAATCCTTCCATGTCATTAGTTTACTTTAAGTTTTCCTTATAAAATAAGCATATAACCTATTTATAACAAGTTATATCAATTTACATGATAGTTTCCCTATGAATTTCCTACAGCCAGAGGAGACTCCATTTTAAATGTAAATGATTATACTCCTAATGTTAAATAATAAACAAGTGGTCTGTTCTAAGCTTCGCAGTACATGAACTACTTTAGTGTTTTTATAAATGTCACAAAAAATGTGTAATTATTAGGACAAACAAGCAATTGATTGTTATAGATAATTATTACATCATATGAAGGCAGAGCAAGTAATGTTTGACCAAGCTGTTGCTTGTGTTAGATAGTTACTGTTTCATGTCGACAGTCACACTTACCAAAGTCCTGAGAGGACTCCAGGATGGTTTCCACCATCATCTTGAGGCAGCCGCACCAATATTAAGCCACTGAATGCAAATGCAAAATAAAATGTTAAGCTTCATGAATAGCTTGATCAAAGGCAATAAAAAATATGTAGTAAAGGGACAAGGAGAAACATTACAAGTAACATTTCCATTCTTTAGTTAGCTAACTTGTACGAGTACTTGAGGAGATCACACAATGATATTTCAATGCAGGATAATTGTAGACACTGACACCATATCAATACAGATGCATATTCTTACTGATCATAGTTTAATTGATTTTATATCATACACTAACTTACTGTACCACTAGTCTACTCTGTTCATTATACTTCATGTATTTTTGTATGTTATATTGTGTATACTTCATGTGTGTTTCAATGCCCTAAACTAGATTATCAATCCAATAGGAATCTTATTTTTTATATGTATTACTACTGGCAAGTTTCAAAATATACTTGTCTTATTGTTCTAACACCAAATTGTATCTAGGTATCAGTAAAGGTGGAGAATTGAATTTTAATTTCTATAGTAAAATTTATATAGATTTGGGTACAGACAGTGATTAACATTGATTATGGAAAGGTCAATGCAAGCCAATATATATGTTAAGCACAACATACACTTTTAGTTACCACTAAATAAACAAAATCCAATCTTATTTGAATTTTACTGCGTATCTAAAACTATAATATGTAACAAGTTCTTTTTCAGTACATGTGATATTAGTCATGTGTGTGGAGAGGTAAAACTGGACCTTGTCCACTCCCTGGATCCAGTAGACTATTACACTTACTTTACTGATTATAAAATATATATATAAATCATACATATTATGTGCATTGTCACACCCAAATATTCTAAGAGGCTGCAGGAAAACGAGCTGCAAGTACTATAGTATACAGCTGTGGCGGCGGCGTGCACTGCTCGTCGGCGGCGTCGATGACCCCGCGATCTAACTAGCGTCTGTCTAACTGTAGTTGCTACTGCTTGGCGGGTGTTCTCAGCGCACCAGACGACATGTTGCCACAAACATGAAGCTGGTGTATGAGCTTTTACACCAATAATAGCTTCTTCATTCGGGCGTCATAATTCCACTACCGGTGAATTGCTTTATTTCATGCTTTGTACAACTCTCGTATCTTACCTGTTACAAATCCATCGACGACGGCATATCGAGATATATCGTCCCAGGAGCAACTTTATGAATTGTTCAGAGCGGTACCATTATGCGAAATAAATGGATATACTATGACGATCAACGTTCCGTGTAAAATATCACCCACGACGACAAATCGAAAAACACTTGAACAGATTTATAATAAACACATTTTATATGTACTTTGTACTTAAATATCACACAAACTCACACGATATATGCAAGTAAAGTAATTCCTTATAAAATTTATTAAAACAATATTGGTCTTTAATCGGACACACTACAATCTACACTATAAAGTTGATTCACTGAATTGATTACAGAACACAAACGCAACACATTATTAAATCCTAATTCCTGAACGGAACTGATCAACTCAGACAGAGACACACCAACCAGTCACCGAGTTTACTGACATTTAATGACATCTGATCTGACATGATGACATAAGCGAGACCACAGAGTGAGACGGAAAGATAAGTCCATAGACTATACCTACTGTTCATGGCGGACTGCGGTGAACTATTATGTATAATATTAAATAGTTATATGTTTATTATAATGCCTTACATAGATATATGTTTATTGCTTGTCTTGTAATACATAGAGTCGCCGTAATGTTTTACAAACGTATAGCTTGGCTAAAATAATCTGACGCAGTGAAAGCCACAGAACAGCTCATTGATATATGTAATATAGATTCGAAATGATGTCTATGGGTAGAATTTAAGATGTAAATCTCTCGACGGTAAAATAATAAACATACTGTCCTTTCTTATTTAATAATATTTCTTTGCGATTATGTCAAATTGCGATTGTGAAATTAAATACAATAATTTTCTAACAAATGCAGTTCTTAATTTAATGTATTTTAATTGAAATCAATGTCAAGTGTAGCTATCTACAGCAAGGTAGCAGCGGTAGGCGGTTTTCGTTGGCCAGACTGCTCATTTTTTCCGTAGATATTTCCCATCTATAACATATAAATCAATGGGCTATATAGGATATAGGATATAGAGAATGGAATCGTTGGTGTTGAAATAGCAGAGGAAAACGGTACTTGTACTTCCATAATATTATTATGTGTGTAGATGGGACTATAACACTTGTTTAGGTCGCTAGATAAGTGCGTGGCGGGAAGAGCTCTGGCGTGATCTCATAGCGGAATGGCAGCAACGACAGTCGCAACCGAGGGCTGGGCTCGCTGCCATTGCAGCAGTAGGTCTCCTCTTTGAGGAGTGGCTTGGGAGACGCTACGGCGTCCTCACCTACCGCCTGACGCAGGTCCTCACCGGAAATGGAAGTTTCGGGAGGTACCTGTGTCTGATGGGGCGGGGGGAAACGTTCGGGTGTCATCACTGCGAGAACCGCCCTGAGGACACGGTGGAACACACAGTAGGGGAATGTCCTGTGTGGGCTGAGCACCGCCGTGCCCTAAGGGAAGTGATCGGCGATGGCGACCTCTCTCGTCCGGACCTAGTGCAGGTGACGATGCGGAGCGAGGGGGACTGGGATGCCGTCTCCTCCTTTTGCGAAGCAGTCATGCTAGCTAAGGAGGACGCGGGACGCGTGAGGCAGCGAAGCGCTGCCTCCTCGCAACCCAGCCATCGTGAAGTACACACCGGCTGTCGGGGATCGCAGGACGGCTACCGTAAGCGCGGGCCTGCGGACGACGAGCATAGGTGGCTCCTCGTCCGACCAGAAACAAACTCGAGCATACGGCGCGTCGCGTTCCGCGCGCGCCTCAAAAAGCCATCATACCACCACAGATGGGGCCCAACAGGGCCGATGCCGATTCGAAGTCGCGGAGAACCTAACGGGTTACCGGGGCCCCAGCTCGACGTGCAGGAGAAGGAACGGGGTGGTTTTTAGTCAGTAAGAGTGTGACACTCCCTCCTGCCTCACTCAGGCGGAAGCAGTCTTTCGATGATTTTCAACCTTAAAAAATAAAAAAATACACTTGTGTACTCGAGAAAATACTGATGAACAGGGCCGTAACTAGTGCCGTATCTGCCGTAGCAATTATACGGGGCCGTCGAACTACGAGGGCAATAAAGTCTAATTACATAAGCAAAAATTAATAAAAACTTACCAATTCTTATTTTGTTTCAGTAATCGCAAAAATCTAAATAAACGATATTTTTCCACGTAAAGCATGCGTGCAAAGGTTGGCAGAAACTTTAGGATCATTATTAGTATTTTATGCAAAAACTTTTTCTTTGTGAGAAATCTGTACCGTTCTCAACGGCGAAACACATTTTTATACGGGGACATTGCTAATGAATAAGTCAGTGATTAGGGTAAGGGTAAAATCGACATTATTCGTGTTTTTTACGGTTCTGTACCCAAAAGTTATTACTAAGACTTCACCGACTCCTCGACGAAGTACGTCCGTCACGCGTCCGTCCGGTGAAACCGTGCGTGAGTCCCACTCGCACTTGCGTAGTTTTTTTTTATAAATAGATAGGTATGGATTAATATTATGTTATACTAATTTATATAATACTACTACTATTTTATGTAGTAGTCAGTGCCTAAAGACCAGGATGTTCAACCAGTGTGTGTTGCCGGTGATGACGTATGGTACCAAGACGTGGTCCCTGACCTCTGGCCTTCTAGAGAAGCTCAAAGTCGCTCAGCGTGCGATGGAGAGAGCTATGCTCGGAGTTTCTTTTCGCGGAAAAATCCGAAATATGGAAATTCGCCAAAGAACAAGAGTTACCGACATAGCTTGCAAAATCTGCAGACTAAAGTGGCAATGGGCAGGCCACGTCACTCGAAGGACTGACGGCAGGTGGGCCAGGAAAGTCCTTGAGAGGAGATCACGGACCAAAAGACGAAGCGTGGGCAGACCTCCCGCTAGGTGGACCGACGACATCGCCAGAGTTGCTGGGAGCCAGTGGATGCGGGTGGCGAGTTGTCGTTCGACGTGGAGGACTTAGGGGGAGGCCTTTGTCCAGCAGTGGAAGTCTTCCGACTGTTGATGGTGATGATGACTATTTATGTAATACTAGCGGACCAGACAGACGTTGTCCTGCATATTATGAAATTTCAAGCGATAAGGGTATTAAAAAAGTATGAAAGGAAAGACCAATAAAATAATAATTATTATTGTTAGTTTAGGATAAATAACTTAGACTAGACTGACTGCAGCGCCAGCTGCACGGATGATTTGTGAATCTAAACCATCTAGGGTGTCACCCAAACTCAAACAAAAAAATCAGTCCTGTCGTTTAGTTGCAGAATAGATAAATGTTACTGGCTCATATGTTTTAAACTGTGTAACTTCTTTTATTTTTGGTGAATAAAGTTATTATTGTTATTATTATTCCTTGTTTCTTTTATCTTAGCTCGGCTACAAGGCCGGGTTTGAGGGATAGTACAGGCCAAGTGCTATCCCACTTAGGTGTCTTAATTTTAGGTGTGGGTGTACGAAACATCTGTTTCATTCAAGAACTTTCTAACTATATGGCAAGTATTTAAGATAGCAGCTTTTTGGAGAGTTTGGTATGTGTAAGGCGGGAGATCTAGAGATTTTATTGAATTATGGAGTTGTTTCGGGATCACACCTGTTGTTGAAAGTACTACGGGGATGATAGTGACATTGCTCAGTCGCCACATTCTGGCTATTTCAATTTTGAGGTCCGTATACTTGGAGAGTTTTTCGGCTATTGTATTTTGTAGATTGTGGGTGTTTGGTATAGCTATGTCAATGATTTGTGCAGTTTTGTTAGTTTTGTCAATGAGGGTAATATCTGGTCTATTGTAATGAGTGGTTTTGTCAGTGAGAATGGCTCGATCAAAGTATAATTTATAGAATGCGTTTTCAAGCACAGTTTCCGGTTGATATTTATAGTATGGTACTGGCGGGGTAGACATTAGATTATATTTTATAGCCATTTTTTGATGAATGATATTTGCTACTTGGTCATGTCTGTGCTTATAATCGGTTTGTACTATGGATTTGCAGGCGCCTGTGATATGCTGGATGGTTTCTGATGCACTATTACATCGCCTGCAGGTATCGATTGCTAACGGGAGACGCATGATGTGCTTCTGGTAATTGCGTGTCTCTATGACCTGGTCCTGAATCGCGATCATGAACCCTTCAGTCTCGGGAAACAATTCACCACGCCTTAGCCATTCGTTCGATGCAACTTTATCGACGTTAGGTTGGCTAAGGTCGTGGTAGTGTCTCCCATGTAGTGACTTCTGGGCAAATTCAGAGATTTTAGTTTGTCGGTCAGTCAGTTTTTCGTTGTTCTGTGTTGCTTGATCAGCCATATTTAAGGGTGTTAGTTTTTTATCACATTGAACTATTGCATTATGTAAAGTGGAGATAGAGTTTTTATTGGAAAAGTAGGATCTTAAGGTATTAATCTGTTTATTATGCAAGTTGGTAATATCTATAATGCCTCTTCCGCCATCACTTCTTGGCAGAGTGAGTCTTTGTAGGCATGATCGCGGGTGATGTCTCCTGTGTTTTGTAAGTGTGGTATTGATACTGCGCTGTAGATTTTGGAGCCCGGTTTTGGACCAATTTATAATGCCAAAGGAATATGTAAGGATCGGTATAGCATATGTGTTTATGGCTTTAATTGTATTTCGGGAGTTTAGCTGAGTGTTGCATATTACTTTTAATCTATGTTTGAACTGCTTGGTTAGTTGGGCTTTAATTTGTGTATGTAGGATTTGTTTCGCTTGTATGTAACCTAAATATTTGTATGTGCCGTTTTCGTCTAAAGAATCAATATTTTCACCTGACTGTAGTTGATATGAATGAGTGTAAGTTTTTCCTGATTTGACTGAGTTAATCTTGCATTTATCTATTCCAAAATCCATTGCAATATCATTTGAAAATATTTCTGTGGTGTCTGCTAGTCAGTGTAGATCTTCCGGGGTAGACGCATATAGTTTTATGTCATCCATATAAAGTAAATGATTTATTTTACAATTTTCGTGGTCAGTCTGTTATTATTATTATTATTATAAATAACCTTGATTCCAACTGCAGCGCCATCTGCCAGGCTGATTTGTCAATGTTAATTTTCTAGGCCCCCACTTGACTTGTATGTATAAAAAAAAGTTCATACAAATCAGTTCAGCCAGGATAAATAACCTGCCGGGCTGATTTGTGAATCTAAACCATCCAGAGCGCCACTCAAACGCATACAGAAAAAAATCATTTAAATCGGTCAAGTCGTTTAGGAGGAGTTTATTTATTTATTGAATTAGGGTCTCCAACAAGGAATACACTTAGCACACACGAGTAGAGTTCAATGACATAGACACGTACGCAGAATTATATCTATATAAAGATAAACTAATACTAATCTATACTTCTTTTATCTATACTGTCCATACTACAGGGATGGAGTTGACATGGGTTGCATTTATCCCTTTCAA